TTGACATCTAACAACAAAATTCTTTAAATTTTTTTGACCTGTCTAGAACACACTTGAAAGCTCCCCAATTTCTTACAATGGCTGAAAGTTCTATCAATGTTGCTGACTCCTTCGCAAGAATAAAGCACCAGAAATGATCAGCGGCTGCATATTTTAAGCAAAAAGTATATTTTTTCAAAAAAAAATTTTTAAAGCAAAATTAGGATTAGAAACCTTGTTGGATACGCTAATACGTTCCCAGATGGCCTTGACATGAAGCGGACAAGTACTACCAAGTCAACAGTAGAATCAAGATTGTCAGTTGGTTTTTAGTTTGAGTTTGATAAGGCATCCAAGTTTGGCTAACCCTTTGATGGCAATTTAAACACCCACTTTGTTGACGGTGCGGCAACTGCCACTGTTTTGCAGCTTAGATTGATTGTTTTGACGTGCTTTAAAAACCCCCATTGTTCAGTATTTATTGTCTCGGCCAACTGTGTGCTGCTGGGACGATATGAGAAGGAAATTTTAAAACTCGTAGAAGACGTTTCGTGTTTAAAAAATTCTCTTTTTACGTTTTCTTTTTTAATTCTGTAGTTTTAGAGAAAAATCAGCTACTAAAAGTTTTTAAGAAAGCTTTCGAATAGAGTAGAAGTGAGCTTACACATGTAAAGTTATCAGTTAAATTCGGTTAGAAGAGAACGATTTCATATTTGAAAATAGTAACGACGACCACTATTGATAAAAGGCTTGTCGAGCATAGAGCATTTGATGCAATGAATGCTATTTTTAACATTTGATGTAAGCATAGATTAAATTTTTCGATTAGTTGAGGTTGATTAAATTTTTTTACTATTATCAGAACGGAAAATTAGTCCCGTTTGTAATCAAAAAACCAGTCGGTATGGAACCAAAAATTGATCAAAAACTTCTTAACCGACTAATCGCAAGCGATAACCGGCTATAGTTTATGTCGCTTAACCTCTGTCAGATTTGCCCTCTGTCGAAAACCTCTGACGTAAAAACACGTTGGCATAACTGCACGCACCCTTACAACGATGGGGTCAACCGTACAATTCCGCAACCCCCCCCTCCCCTCCCCCCGCCAATTGATTTAAGGGGGAGAAAACATGGATTTTTCAGGAAATAACTTTGAGTATACCAAATATTATAAAATACTAAATTTATTTAGAGAAAATTTGTTAAAATTATGTTAGCTTAGGTTATTAAAAGCATTCAAATGCAATCCCACATAAAAATTATGACAACCAATTTAATGTGCGCGCTCGTTCGAAATGCATATCCATGATGTGAATACATTAAACAGAACTAATTTTCAAATTTAATACGCGGCTAAGGGGAAATTCTACGGTTGGTCGCTTAGGGGGGGGGGGGGGGGGTGAGATTGTGAGATTGTACGGTTGATCCTAGGATGTTTGGTTTTATGCTGTTTGAATAAAAGACTTTTTGTTTAACTGTTGGTTACCTAACAAATTGATCAATCAGTGTTTAAGTTGGATGTTTTTGGTACAGACGCAGCCCATTTTTCCATTTGATACAAATGATCAATGGTACGAAAAAATGTTGTTGCAAATGAGTTTTCACCTCTTTTTTATATTCTGTTTTAATTTTAGAGGAATTTCCATAAAAACATATCAGCGAGATGCAAGCGAAATGTGTGAAAAACTTGGAATAATTTTGAAATTTTTAAAATAACAGTCGATCCTTGAAACTTGACTGAATTTGACTTATGCTAGATTTTCAATTTGAATGGACCATTTTTGGGAAAGTGTCGAATTTTCCGACCAAAAAACATTCTCGACCAAATCGGGAAAAGTTTTAATTCATTCAGATACGAAAGCCGATTGATATTCATGGTAATCTAGTCTTAAGAAAAAATTTGTAAGACAGCGTCACGCTTTAAGATAAAGTTAAAACTTGGTTAGAACAATTAAAATGGCAAGCATTACTTTTAGTTCGCGTAAATAAAAAAATTCTTCAATTTTCTCATTTAGCTGTGGTACTCTCCGTACTCTTATTAAGAAAACGGGATCCAAAAAGAAACTGACAAAATTTTTTCAGTTAGTTTTCGTTTCTTTGAGTTCTAGATTTTGTTCAAAGCAATTAAAAATTTCAGTTTTGTCGAACAATTCAGCTTTTTAAAATAGTTAACAGTTTTTTCACTATGCAAACAAATGTTTTTTTTTTCATTTATATTTGTTTCGAATTTAGTTTCCCACATCGCAAGATTCTAAAAAACTCAGTTTTCTTACAGTTTAGAAAACTTCAGTTTTTCCCCGTTCACTTAGGTAGCAGTAGTTTCAATATACAAACTAACAGGTTTTCACCTCAGAGAATTTTAAGTTTAACCTTTTTACACTTTGGAAAAACTTAACTCTTCAATAACTAAAAGCTTTTTTAGGAACAGTCGACAGCGTGAGAACGAACGCAGCGAAAGCAGAAATTACCAATTTGCGGATCTCGCAAACATCAAACAATTGCCTAAAGAAAACCAGCAACAACTAAACTTCAAAAACGTTTGGTTAACTTTTGGCAGTCTTGTTAATATTCATTTGGTATATTATTGATATGATAACTTTCACTGGTAGAATTGATACGAATTGAATCGTTGCTTCTCCCATGTTGTGATTTTTTGTAATGTTTTTGTCAAAGGGCTCGAATGGTTTCTTTTTACTTCTCTGTCTAGTCGGTGGTCGATCTGTAGATGGATTCTTTGCTCAGATACTGCAAAAACTGCTATCGTCAAATGATTATTTTTGATAATCATTTTTAAACAAAGTTTGAGCGGTTTCAGAGATATTTATGCCGATTACCCCCAGAATATCTTGTACAGAATAAGCTTTTAAAAATTAGAAAAAACTGTTAAAACTTCATTTTGAGCAACCAACAATTTTCCCACAGATGTGTTACATTGTCATGGTCGTTTTACATTTTTTTGTTCAGACTTAATGAAAAATGAGTTTAAGTGTTAAAGGCAGGAGGACAAAAACAAATCGTGTTTAAACAAGATTCATTGGCAACTTTCAAAAATGTCAGTGAACTAATTTTGACAGTTATTTGTTTCCATTTAATCATCATTCAAAAGTGCCTAAAGTGGTTTCGTTAATGTTCCAACTATTTTAAGGAAAACGACGAAATATTTGTGCTGGGGTTTTTTCTCAAAAAAAATTTCGACTTTTTATCTAGCAGTTTTTGAACTTTTAAAAATCATTAGAAAGGCTTTATTTCTTAAGCTCGAACTTAAATAATACTTGACATGGGAATAATGTTTGTTAAGTTATTGGGGTTTAAGGATTGCTAATATTGCCAATCAATGCGCGATATACTTCACTCTTTTATCGCATGAGCGGAGGTTTATTCAGTCTTACAAATCGTCCCAAATTGATTGAAGCAGGCTAGTTGTCATAACTTCTACGCTACTAGGTGCAAAATCTATAACTTAGCACATAATACGGCATGAAAGGAGATGACTTTCAAAAAACTGTTTCTTTTTATCTTTTTTCTTTGAAAAATTCATCACATTCAGAAAAAAATTTGCTTTTTAGAACTTAAAACGCAGTCGATTAATTTGGAACTTTGGCCTGGTACGAGCAGTCTTGTCTCTTTGAAAATTCTCAGACTAATCATTTTTTTCTCGGAAAGCGCTATAAAAATTCTTAAAAGATGTACAAAAAAGTCACTCTCCAATCCTGAAACTTTTTCCGGAAACTCAAAATCAGCTAACCATACTTTTGTTTCTTCATTTTTTTAAACTGTCATTCTGAAAAATTTCGCTATGACGAAGTTTTAATTGACAACTATTACGCACTTGATATTTAATTTTACTGTTTCGGGTTTCGAAGAAATTGCCAACGTTTTATGATTTTATGCTTGGGGTGGTTTTTTATTCAGTCGGTTTTTTGATTTCTTAATCAGGCTTTTTTAAAAACACCAACTGTGAGAGAGATTGTTGTCATGAGTTCAAATTTAAATAAATAAATTTTTTTTACTTTTCGTAAAGTTACGGGGTTTGAAAATGGCCAATTTAGTCAAATTGGGATAATTAACGCGCCACATAATGTATTCATATTGAATTTAGTCCTTTTAAAACAATTAAATGGTATCTTACAGAGCATACGGGGGGAATGAAATGAAGAAAAGAAACTTTTCAATTATTTTGTCATTTAATTGGCCTCAAAGGGCATGTCGGAAAGATCAGGGGCTCGCTCTGGTATACCAGCAGTCTTCTTTTAGTTAAACTAGTATTTTGCTCTGTATCGTAAGGTAATAAGTGAGCAAAATCAAGTTAATGAACTTTACAGAAATATTGCAAATTATTTAACACAAAATTTAAAATCAGCCGTAAATTTAAAAAAAATACGCTTATTGCATTCAGAATAAGCTTGATTTAAAGCCAGCTCAATAGATGATTTAAAACCAGGTGTAATTTTTCTTGAGTCAATCAGTCAAGCGAATAAATCTGATTAAACTGTTAACATTGTAGAGCTTTAATAAAAAATACACCACAAAAGTATTTTTGTGCTGAATAATGGGGCGGAACAATAAACATCCGGAGCTCTTTAAGATTTTATTGTGCAAAAATTTCAGTCAAATGTTTGAAAAAGAAAGTCACAAACAAATTTCTTGCTCATTCGTTTTTTTTTGGCGCCTGCGCACTCAAATTAGGTATACGTTGCGTTTCGCAAAATTTTATGGTCAGTCAGCGACAAATGGTTGCCGTGCATTTGTACCAAATGGGGGCATGCTTTGGGTGATCAGGGGTTCGAAACCCTTAGAAAACATCCGCCCTCCCCCCTCCCACTAAATCTGCAACTGTAACAAACACTATAGTTACTATGCGACAAAAATTCATTCCACAATGATGAAAAATAGAATAAGTGTACTAAACTGATAGGTTTTTGAATTAATTTAGAGTAGTCTAAGCGATAAGTAGTTTCTGAGATTATAATCTTGTATTTAAAAAATTTGGAAAATAAATACTTTTTTAAAGAAAACTGACATTCAAGAATAGAATCTACATATAGCACAAAAAAACACAGAGTGGGTCATACAAAACATTGCGCTTTCATCTTTATTTCGCATTCAACCGTTCGTTTTTCGTTTTTTAAAGATCTTTCGTTTTTCGAAATTATACATCAAATATTTGGCGCAAAAATGTTTCCTGTTTTGAAGCATTGCGAGATAATTGTAAATGTTTAGGAGGATATAAATTTGCTTTTGAGTCTGCACACCAAACATACGAGAGTAGCTCTGAATCCTTTGCTCATAAAACAGAATGTAATTGGATTGATGCATCCGGATATGTTTTCCAGGAAATAGGACGCCGCCATCAGGTACCGGATGATGGGACGCACCTGGAACTCATCACTGCTGACCCGAATCAGCACGTGCATTAGGTGTACCGGACCCCAACATACCACGTGACCGACTACGATCACAATCAGCATGTAAACAAGCCGCGACCTCCAGCTCGAAATGTCCGGCTCAGTTCTCATCAAAATCTGAACCACTGACTCTTCATTTTGAGTCGCTTCCACGCCACTTGGGCGTGGGTTCGAATCCTTGCTGGACCGTGGATCCACTACAACTAGCGGATTGGTCTTAGTACAATCGCTTTGATTGGTCGAATTTTTCTGCTTCTGCGATTGGTCAAGAACGACTTGTGATTGCATCTTCTTGAACTTAACTACGGCTCGCGGAATTTGACTTGCAGCCCGGATGTTAGACGAAGAATTTCTGCGGGCTACCAAGACGTCGCAGGAGTCTTTCGGGTGTCCAGTGACTTCGACTGCGGCGTTGGTTAGTCTGGTATCGGATGTTCCGCTGATGGTGGAGGTTTCTTTTCTGCGCTTAGATGGACAGTTGCGATCCAGAGTTGCTCTTCGATCTGAAGTATGATCATAACTTCCACTATTCAGATTCAAATATTAAAAATGTTTCGACTTTTAAATTCCAAGTAAGCATGCTTATGATTTTAGTGATACTAGTTACAAAAATTGTATGAAAATTACAAGAAATTACTAGTAATTACAAGAAGTTACAAATAATAGAAACCAACTTAAAAAAGGATTTTTTTTAATGAGCAGATTTTTTTTGATCGTAATTATTAGCTTCTAGCGGCGCTTAGAAAAAGTAAACCAACTGCTCGAGGAAATATCAATTGCTCGATTTACAGAAAAAGATTTAAAGTTTTTACAATTTATTAGATAATTTCATAAGGGTGTTTATGCTTACTGATCCGTAGAGGGTAGGCTGCAGGTCCAACGCAGCTTCCGTTAGAGTTTGCAGGGGCGTTGTTATTTGGGACATTCGGGTTGAAGTGTTGTTGGTTCAACTGTGGCGCCTGTCCGCCCGAAATGGCCCTAGTCACATCAGCACAAGCATGATACACGCAAGCATGAAAATCTATCTATGAAGAAAATCTACGAAGCACATGGGAGCAGAACGCTTTACGCCAACTCAGTTACAAAAGCTTCAAAAAAAAACGGTTTGCTCCCCGGTTTGCCCTCTATAGAAGATAGATGCGCAATCATACACATCCATGCATGATTTCTATAGAAAATGACTAATCATGCGTCGTGGCACCAACATTACTTTCGAAAACCCTCAAAGTAGCTTTTTGAGGAATAATATTAGTATTAAAACAATTTCTTATCATTAAGACAGCTGTTGGTAAAATATGAAACAATTTCACCATGCAAATCATACGCTGATTTAAATTATCCTGACAAAAACGCACTAATTTAGAAACTTAAAACGCGTTTTTGAAGTTCTAAGCAAGATGAAGACAAAACTTGATTAAGACAAAAATAATGTGGCAATTCGGGCCCAAAATTTTACCCCTAAAATGGATCAGTATTGGCTTTGATTCAATGCAAATGGATCAATGGAAAACAAATTACACCATAATAATTCTGCTGAAGTTCTAGACAAGTTTTGTCTTCATCAGTTTTATTTAAATTCAAGCCAATTTGAGAAATCCAACTTCAATCCAAATTTAAGTTTCTCTATGCGTTTTGTCCGGATTATTTAAATCAGCACTGTATATGGTGCTATGTATGAAAGCCATCTTTCAATAAAACATTTTTTGGTCAACTCGGTTTTTCTGAAACAGATCATTTTCCTTTTGTTCCGGCCCTCAAAAATGGGGAAAAACTTCGTATTTGGGTATGTAACTGTTTTTCTTTCTTTTCTTTTCCACGCAAAATCATTTTCTAAAAGTTGTCCTAGTATTGAGAAAAACAAATTAAATTTTTTTGTTTTGTAATCCTAATTCGAGCAAATAAAGCTAGCGAGCAGGCGTGCAATAGCTTATTTATGCTTAATTTAAGCCGTGAAAACTTAGTTTTATTCGATTAAAGATAGTTTTTGTAGTTTTTTGCAATCAAAAACTTAGTTCACAAAACTACTGCAAGGAAAATGAAAATTTTTTTGAAGTGTTTAAAGTTTTTTAAAGACATTTTTCTAAAAAAATTTCCTGTCATTTTTCTGTGACAGCTGCTGTCCACTTAGCTTATTTGTACTATCAATTATGCATAAATTTAGTTTTCCTTTCGGCTCAATTTATTAGACCACGCAGAAAAAATTACACTAATTAAAAAGAAAAAATCACTTTTTTTGTATTTTTAAGAGTATGATATTAACATTCTGTGCTGCCTGCACAGTAACCGGCGATCCTTATTTCAAGCAGTTCCGTCTGCTATTGCATGTTTTTTACAAAGCATATCTCTTTGCTTGTTAGTACCTGGCCACGAAATAGTACATGGTGGCCATAGCTGAGGATGGGATGATGACTATGAGCAGGAATAGAGTAACAGTGTAGGCCAAGTCCCACCAGTCACTCCACCATGTTTCATAGCAGAGGTGTCCCACCTGAAACAAACCACTTGAATCATAGTTCATGAGCTATATATAATACACTGCTGGTGTGAACTATTGGGAAAAAAAAAAGAATTTCCCAATCATCATTTTTTTCCTAGACTTTTAGTAAGTCTTGTCACCATATTTTTCCTAAGCTCAGTTTGTCAAAACTAAGACTAACTAGAACCAACAATTTGAATCCTAGTTTATGAACTATATAGTACACTACTGATTTAAACAATTGGGAAAAAGAACTTCACAATCATAATTTTGCTAAGACTCTAAGTAGGTTTTGTCCCCATATTTTTCCTAAGCCCAATTTGTCCAATCTAAATCCCAGGCGTCTCACTTAGAACAAACAATTTGAATCATAATTTATAATCTCTATAGTACATTGCTGATTTGAATTATATGGACAAAAAGAGTTTCACAATAATAATTCTGCGAAAACATCTAAGCAACATTTGTCCCCATCTTCATTGTCTAAAGTCAACCCAGTTTGAGAAAAACGCTTTTTAAGTTTAAATTTTTTTTCGCTGTGTCCGGATAATTTAAATCAGCACTGCAAATTTAAACACCATCATAAAATGAGCTTTAGGATCTGTTTTTTTTTCATAGAGAGAGTTATCAACAATTGAATAATCAGACAAACTGCAAATGAGACTTACTTGAGCACATGGCTTAACTTGAAAGAGCATATGACTTATTTCAGATATTTCTGCAAAAAAACATCGTGAATTTCAGACATATAATTTTTGCTTTTACCTCACTCGAAAGTTCAAGATAGTATGTTAAAATCTTTTTTTTAAGGCAGTGCTCTTTTTTAACCCCTTTTGTATGCAGTGCTCTTTTTTAACCCTGTCTGTTCTAATTTATAAGAACTGTTAATGTCTGATTGATGGCAACATCCTTTTTGATCAACAAATCTTAATAAAAGTAACAACCTAAGGCTGTTCATTTTGACGTTGTAAATCAATTTCTCATTCATTTCCGCTCGTAAGGTTGGGTCAGACTCATAGTAGAGAGCGGCGGGCGGCTGCGTCAAAAACTGACCTTTTATGTACCGCTTTGGTTGTTAGCCCGGATTCACAAAAACAATGCTTTTCATATACTTAAATGTCATGGAAAATGTTTGTCATTCAACTCCATGGAACTTCACAAAAACATGGCACATTAGAGCACTTGTTTCATACTATCTAAGTGTTTGATGAGCATTTTTATCGCATGGAAGATCATTACAAATAGTTGTCCACACATAAAAATTTATTGTACCGACCATTGAAAATGGAGAGGAACCTTGTATTCGGGTGTTTTAGTTCTTTTTTTTGTTTTCCACCCCAAATCAGGTACCACAAATAATAATCGGAATGGGTTGAGTGACATATCATATTAAAGCCCTTAGAGTCGCGATTTGAGCCACTTTTAAAATTTTTAATACGTTTTATATTGTGTAGAAAAACCGGTTTGAAACTTTTGGTTTTTCGTCTCATTCCGAGCAAATAAAGCGAGCGAGCAGTCCAATTTAAAAGCTTAAAAGCTTACAATAGCTTGATTTAAAAGGTAAAACAAAACTTTTACTCGAGTAATGCTAGTTTGTTTTGAGTATTTTAGGGCCTTTTTGTATCAAAATTTTCAAAAAATCAAAATTCTTTTTTCAATTTTTTTTCTTTTTTTTTCAAATAATTTTCTCAAATTTTTTTTCTCAATTTGCTGATTTTACTATGACTGCCGACAATACCTAATCTCCAGTTTTTTTTTCAGCTACTTTTATCACACCACGCCGAAAAAAATGACGACAATTTTGAAAAAAAAATGCACAGTAGCACAGAAAAAAATGCACAGTTTTTTTTCAGCTACTTTTATCACACCACGCCGAAAAAAATGACGACAATTTTGAAAAAAAATGCACAGTTTTCAAGATTGGGATCGGAATATTCTGTGCCACTTGCATAGTAGCCGGCTATCTTTGTTAATTTTTTGTGTTTCCCTTATACTTTTTTAAATTAATTTCTCAGCCTAACTGCAATTGGAGCTCTGAAATCTTAACTTGCCTAATGAATTTCTCGCCGATACAAAAGACTCAATTTTTTGAATGGTTGAAATTCGATGGATGTTTTTTAACACATCTAACTTCATTTTATCATTTAACAACCAGAAAAACATTAACCGAGCTTCAAACAAAACGTCGTTGTTTATTTTGTTTTTCTGATTGAAAGTTAGTTTTAAATTACATCAAAGACAAAAATTCTATTGCATGCGGTGAAGAAATAATACGAATCTTGCGGCTTGAAAAGTTTTTTTTTCGCCAAAACATCGTATTGTAGAAAAAAAACGCGGCTTATAAAAATTTGTATGACAAGCAATTTTGAACAAAAAACCAAACCATATTGTGACAACCAAAGTGATTTCAATCCACAAATCTTTGTTAAACTCATTTAAAATTACCTAAAAACCGTTTTCAAAAAACTTCTATGAGTTTTGTTGTTTTTCATTAAAAAAATGTTATCATAAAACTTTGATACAGGTAAATTCTCATAAGAGCAGTTTTTTTCTATCTATGTCATAAAAAATTTGAGGACCAGAAAACTTCAAAGCTGTCAGTTAGATGAAAGTTTTATTTTAGAAGCCTTCAAAAATGGTTTCAAAACTGTATGATAACCCGTGTTGACAACAAAAGAAAACGAAAAAACAGTTATCGTACACTTTTCATTAATGGAAATTGTATGATAAGTATTTGTTTCCATAGAACCCATGCATGGAATTGTATGACAAGCATTTTTTGTATGGAAATGTATGATAAGAATTGTTGTTGTATGGAATTGTATAGTTAGTAATTCTTGTATATGAGGGTCAACCGGTATACGTTTTTCTAGTTCACCAATATTGCTATCATTTTGGCTTCATATTTATATCTCTAAGGAATCATCTCGGGTTGAACCAATGTAGAGTGATTGCTAAAAAATGGCAATATCGGTGACCAGTTAATGGCAATATTGAGCAACCTAATAGGCAAAAAAAACTATTTTTAGTTTATTATCCGCTTTTGAGGCATTTATTACGCCCTAAAATGAGTGAAAAATTTTTTTTCCGACGTCAAAATGGCCAAGTTAATTTAATTTGCTCAGATTAGTTTATCAAAAAGGATGTTGCCAACAATTTCGACAGGATCTACTTAACAATCTCCTCTTTTTCAAGAAAGCGCGGAAGATTATAAAGTAGATTAGGTTAATCGAATTTTCGATCAATCAGAATGCAGCAAACAATCAGAGTTCTCAATAGTAAGCTCTAGTACGAATTTACTGTGTTTATTTGTAGGGATGGAGACTCTTTAGTTGATACCATATGGGGGGATGTTAATTAGATCATGTGGCCCTAGCTGTAGCTTAACTGCACTGTAACCGACTATTCTTTTTAAGCGTTTCTCGACTCTCAATACTGTCAATTCTCAAACACTCAACTAATTTCTCAGTTAAAAATCATACCATGTAATTGAAAATCTACGGTCAACAGGCTTTGATATTTGAGAACTATCCAAAAAACTCAAGCGCAAGCCGCAAACTTCATTAAAAATGGGTTTTCTCTAAAATTGACTGCTTTTATGGTAAATTTTTTCACATGCTCTGGCCGCAAAAGATTAAAGTAGTCATTTATAAATACATTTGGCTCCTTATTCAACTTAAAAAAAAAATTTGTGAACATTTTTCACCGCGTTGGCGAGCAAGTTTTTGATGTTTGTCAAATGCATTGTAGTTGAGGCTAATTTTGATTGGCCTTTTTATTATGAAAAGTAGATAGAGCGAGAGGGGGTGTTTATTAGTGTGCTTACTTTGGATCCGCAGTCTATCTGGGCCGAGTGAGCTGCGATTGCAAGGGGGGTGCTGGTGATGATGGATGCTGTCCAAATTCCCGCCATGAGGGGGTATACATGACGAACAGTCTGTCTGCCCAAAGATTCCATAGGGCGACATATGGCAAAGTATCTAAAACATCATAATATTAGAAAACTGCATTTTAGACACAAATTTATATCTATAATTCTATGATTCATTGTAATACTTCTAAATGATAAATTTTATGATTAATTTCAATAATATTTTTGTTTATTTTAAAACTTCTAAAAACGGAACGTATATCAGGTTAAAACTCAGATGAGGTTATGATTGATATTTATTTTAATTCAATGATTAATTAATGATAAATAATAAGAACCACAGTAATACCTTCAGCTATTTATTAAAATTTTCTCTGTGCCCGAAATGAACAACCATGTAGTAATTTTAATTAATTTTGTGAGCTTGTAAAATTGAATCTCGCAAGTAATGACCACGGATCATTGAAGATTTCTGGAAAAACTTCTCAACTGCTTTTTTTCATATTTTGGCAGTTTTTTGTGTCCTCTTTTTAAGCAGAATTTACTTTTATCAAAATTTATTTTTAGAAAAAAAGTATTCTTGAAATTGATGGTATGTTTTTTATTCTGTTTGATGATCAAATTTTGATGAAAAAGCTCCCAATAAATCAATTAACTTTTGTAAATATTCTGCGATATATCTGTATTTGTCGAAGAAGTTATTTCCAAGTAAACCTCACATAACTCAAAAAGAGTTTCGGAACAGTTGCAGGCCTTGATAAGAGCTATCATAATTGTTACAAATAACACTCGCCCTAAAAAAAGGTCGTCTTTACAAAAACAATGAGTCAAGGGTCGTTACGAGTTGTCATTTCTTAGAAATGTTCGTATCTCATAACCGAAGAAGCCACAGTTGGAGCATATTGGCTCTATGCGAATTTCCCTTTCTCTGAAATAAATTCTATTTTTTTACAATCTTTTTTAAATTACTACTTTGTATGCTTCGTTCTGAGCCAGTGGTCCTTTTATTGTTCGCAGGCAGGGTAAAGGATAAAGAGCCGCGGAAAAACAAAGTTAAGTCTACGCGGCGCTACTTTGGTCCGCAGGGGCGACAAGAATATTTGGTATGAAATTGGTATTAAGAGCTTTCGAAATTATTTTGAAGTCGCAGACAACGTTTCGTGGAAATTCGTGAAAGGTAACTTATTTTTAGGCAAAACCATTGTTAAAAAACCTTTTGTCAACACGGTCTAATTATTGTGCTTTTTGATTTATAAGTTCCTTCGTTTTCAATCCATGAAAAGGCAAGTTAACAAAATAATACAACAGCGAGACAACCTTCTTTGAGAATAATACTAGAAAAAAAAGACTCAAATTGCATTGGATCAAGTTGATTGCTCCCAAAAAGTTCTTAATTAGACTCACTGGGTGATAAAGCAGTCATAAGATATTTCGAGTAATTGTACTTTTTTCGTTTACTTTTTTCCACTTAAAATCAGGTAACACACAGAATCATGAAGTTGACTAATGTCTCATTTCAAATACAAAATTTGACTTAGAATTCAAATTTTCCTTCAGTTTCAGGAAAAATTGGTGCTAAGTTTTAGCGTTTTGATTATTTTCAGATTGTCTTGTATTCAGATCTTTAATCCAATGCTTGTATTTTTTTTGCTTGATTTTTGTTATCACACCCTAATGGAGTCAGTGCTAGTTTTTTACAAGCTTGAAGCTTCGTTAGCCACGCACATAAAATTGAAAAAAAGAGGAAAAAATTGAATAAGTTCAATTTTTTTTGAAGTAACTGTCGTCGGTTTCTTTTTTTCTGGCTTTGAGGTAGTTTTTTTTTCAATTTAAAAAAAGCCTACCATAAAATGAAATTAAAGCTTTTTCCTTGAGAACAGCATGAAAAAGTTCATCCAACAGAGAGAGAGAAAATTATCAACACGAAAGCAGGAAAAATGGCTGCTTTGTTTGAGTTTCTGTTTCAAAATTTGCTTATTGTAGCATCAACATAATTTTTCTGTTATTGGACGCTTCCTTTTTACTGACTAACCTGTTTAGTGCTTGGACTTTTTTTGAATTTTACTTCTTGTCCAAAACTTTTTTTGTCTGATGCCTCGCAACGATCAAGACTCAAAATTTGTATTGCGAAATCTTCGCGACCAAGTGTGTCGCAACCAAATAAACCCAAAATAGGCAAGGGCCGCTTCAGTCTCGATTAAGTTCGCTTTGCTCGCGCAGGTGGCAGTCAATTTTTTTCAGTTGCGCCGGCCGCGATTAAATTTTCGTGAGACGGGCTGGCATTGAACGCATCTACTAAAACTTCAACGTCTAACAATACCATTTTTTTGGTCGCGGTTTGGTCTGAAAGCACTCATTTTTGACTCGGCAATCTTGAAAGATCAATATTAGATTGCGGTATTCTGATCATAAAAGCTCACTTTCTCTTAAAGTGAGCTTATATGATTCTTAAACAAGCACAAGGGGAATAGCTGATGTGAACGGTCCGTATAATATAACAGCCCAAAGATTGTTTTTTTCTAGTTCAGTTTTAAATCTTCGCTACCTAGGACTTTACTTTTTTCGTTTATGGGATTTGAAACATTACTTTAAATTTGCCTGATGATTTCATTTTGATTTCATCAACCTTTATTCTTAGCATTTTATGTGTGTTTGTATGAGTGGAAACAATGTTGATTTACATTAATCGGACACAATTAACAACATTTATAATGGAAAACTCAGTTTACTTTAGTGAAGAGAACAAAAGTTGCATAGAATTTCCATATTTAATATGGAGTAATTTGCCCCCGAAATTTTACACCAATTTGCCCCCGAACAAAAATTTTACACCAAAAAAGGTCATTTTGGTTTTTACTAAACTAAACTAAATTAATCAAGAATTACGCTGAAACAACAGTTATTCGATAAGAAATTTATATCAAAAGTATTTTTTCCCGTCAATTAACTCGGTGTTTGCAGCCTATTTCTTAAATAATTGAAAAAAAATACCAATTTTGAAGTTTAAAAAATGGTTACAAACTTCGGTGAAAAACTGCACCATATTAAATCTGGTGAAAATTCGAGCTAATTTTGTTCCCTTCACTTTTTTCTAATTTTACAGAAAACTGAGAAAAACGCGTCTGAAATTTCAATTTTTTCCCCAAATAATGATTTTGCGCTAAATATTCTGTTAAACTGAGTTGTATGAGAATAGAGATTCTTGTTGGAGAAAATGGATTTTCTTTAAATAATTTTTTTTTTCAGTTTTAAAAAATTTTTAAGCCATGGAGTCTGAATGATGATTTGAATTTTCAGTTTTTTTATTTCAGGAATTTGAATGAGGACTTAAATGATTTACACCAGACTGTTGACTATCCGGGTCGAAGTAGTGGTTTTATGTTCAGACCGTGTGGACCAAAAACGCTATGCTCAGACAGTATGGACTAAAGGAATCCATTTTCAAACTGTGTGGGCAGAAGGAGTCCAAAGCAATTGAATGGACTGAAGGAATTCGGGTTCAGACCGTGTGGTCTTTGATCCAATTCTAAGTGCTGACGTTTTTTTGCTTTTAGAAAAATTTAGAAGCTTTTAGAAAAATTGCTTTTAGAAGTTGCTCTAATAAATTTCATAGCTTTCTGATTTTGCTGCGACAATTTTGTCGTTGCCCCAAAAAATTTTTTTAATATTTTTTGATTCCATGTGTAGGCCTTCTCGTGGTTGTGCTGTATATGATCAGCAACTATACTGTTCTAGCTAACTGCAATTTAAAACAAATATATATACTGTTTTATTTTGTTAATGGCAACAGTTTTAAAGTTTTGCACGCAAAAATTGCGGCAATAAAATCAAACTATTGATGAAATTACATTTGTTTTGACTTTGAGTTCGACAGTGCTGTCAATTTTGTTCGACTTTATGTTTCGACTTTGTATTTGGTTAAATATTTTGCCTTTATGATCACTTCTATGTTTCGACTTTGTGTTCGACGTTATCTTTCGACTTTGTGTTTGACTTTGAATTTCGACTTTGTGTTCGGCTGCATGTTTCGACCGACTTGACTTAACGCTTCAAATTTGAGTTTGACTGTAGGGCCTTCTCGGCCATGGGTTTGCCGAAAAACTCAAACATGTGTTCGATCCGTCTCGGTCAAAAAATAAATCGCAATACTCAGACTCTGCAGACTTATGTTCAGACTTTGCAGACTTATTTCAGACTTTGCAGACTTAAGTTCAGACTTTGCAGACTTAAGTTCAGACTTTGCAGACTTGAGTTCAGATTTACCAGACTATTGATCAGACTTTGCAGACTTATGTTTAGGTTTTGCAAGCTTGGACCTGCGTAGCGACTATAAATTTTCGGCCCCACGCGAATCGAATCAGACTTATTAAGTCTGAACATGAAACCACGACCTCGTTTTGCAGACTTATATTCAGACTTTGTAGACTTTATGTTCAGACTTTGCAGACTTATGTTTAGACTTTGCAGGCTTTGAGCTGCGTGGCGACTATATATTTTCGGCATCACGCGAATCGAATCAGACTTATTGAGTACGGGGGTGGAGGCCACCCTTTGGTATGTATTATGCCATCCATTTTCGACTGAACGACCCTAAAATGTTTGCGAAGGCGCCTTATGCGGCAATATATTCTATTTTGAAGAAAAGGCGCCAAAAACACACAAAATTTTACTCAAGCCTTTTCCAAAAAGTGCGGCAATAAAATCAAACTAATGGTGAAAATACTTTTGTTTTGACTATGAGTTCGACAGTGCTGTTAATTGTGTTCGACTTTATGTTTCGACTATGTGTTTGGTTGAATATTTCGCCTCTATGATCACTTCTATGTTTCGACTATGTGTTCGACGTTGTCTTTCCACTTTGTTATTGACTTTATATTTCGACTTTGCGTTCCATTGTATGTTTCGACCGACTTGATTTTACGCTTCAACTTTGAGTTCGACTGTAGGGCCTTCTCGGCAATGGGTTTTCGGTCAAACTTAAACATGTGTTGGACCCGTCTCGGTCGAAAAATGAATCGCAATGTTCAGACTCTGCAGACTTATGTTCAGACTTCGAAGACTCATGTTTAGACATTGCAGATTTTGACTTGCGTGGCGACTAAGATTTTT